TCTGTGATTCTGTTGCAATTTATGGAGAAGAGTAGTTTGATTTAGTTAAATAAGAAACATGTGTACTCTTCTGTTGTCTGGAAAGAATTTGCTAATGAGCCCAATGTTCAGTCTAAGTTGTTTTTGTGAACCTCAGTTCGGGACTAAAATTGCTTGTTGGATAGTATAGTATCAGTCTATATATTAATTCAAAACGCGTTGAGCCAAGTGGCAGACTCGCATATTTCGAGATTTTATGTGGCAAAATTATATGTTTCGTATTAGGCTTGGTAGATTTTGATTTACTTCCAATCCAAAAATAAGTGAATTTCTATTTATCGCCCCCTTTTTACTACTCACTGTCTCCCTCAATTACATTTTTGCCCTTCACTCTCTTTCTCTACTCTTTTTCTCTCGACTTTCTACGGCTCTTTTGACCGTCAAAAAAATTTCAAAAAAATGCCAAAAAAATATCATGACATTGACAAGACATTGATGATTGACCATGTTATTTTTTTTTATATTTTTTACTTTATAAATAATTTTTATTTTTATTTTATTTTTTATTTTTTATTTTATTTTTTTTTTGCGCGTCCGGCCGGTTGGTCGCGTCCAACCGGATGGTCCGGGCGCGCACGGTTGCGTCCGGCCGAACTGTCCGGACGCGCACGGTCGCGTCCGGTCCGTAGAAAGTCCAAAGGAAAAAAGTAGAGAGAGAGAGAGAGTGCTCAAGAGCAAAAATATCCAAGAGAGGCGATAAATAGTAATGCCCAAACATAATTAGGTTCGGGTTATTCATGAATGTATCAAATTACATGATTCTTTATTAAGTTAATAACGTTTGTATTTTTTATCAGTTTTACATATATAATATATCAAATTAATCATCTCTTGATGAATTTCGATTTAACATCTATATTGTATGTATAAAAAAATTATATTTATCTTTATAACAATAATAAAATTATTTTTTAATACTAATTAGAAAAATAATGTTACTTACCAATTAATATATTTATATTTTAAGTAGTTATGTGATATAAGTTATAAAATTTACTATAATATAACACATGTAAGTCGCACAAGTAACAAGTGTCATTCTAAAGTATATAGTAATATATATATATATTTTTTTTATAAAAAAGTAAATAAAATTTAAAATAATTTCTCTTTATTCTTAAAATTTTAAAATAATTTTTTAACAAGCATCCGTGTAATATACGGGTGTTGTACTGTTATAATTTAGTTGTAGATGATTTAAAAGTCGCCTCACGTATGCAAATTGCAACGGATTACGGATACGGGTGGGTCATGGATCACGTGGATAGGACCCTACCCGGATAGTGAACTACAAATAGGGACCCGGGAGAGTATTAGATCCTCCTGCCCCACATTCTAATTTCAAGTTTTCTCAAGCACAAAATTAGATATGGTCCCCACATTCACTTTGTTTCCATTTTTTCCAATGATTATATCTCTCCCTATGTATTAATTCAAAACGTGTTGAGCCTATATCGTAAATTCTCACGCTTCGGATATTGACATGGCGAAAATCTATGCTTCGTGATGTTGTTTTTATATTATTTTTGTTATGAAATTAGATTTGGTATTAGACATAAATAATTTTACACATATATTCATTAACTCAACACCCATGTTGTATATGAGTATTAGTACTAGTATTATTTTATTTATATATTCTGGCGTGCAAAATAGATGATAGAAGGAGCCATGCAATGCAATTCATGCACATAGAACACTTCAAAAATAGATGATAATTTCAGAAAAGATTCATGACAATCTATATATATATAATTACTGGCAAATAGAATTTAATAAAACTTATTTAGTTTTACTTATGTGGCAATTTAACCATTTTCCCTCTAAAAACCGTTACTTTTGATGTATTTAATATTTCATTTAATTATTAAATAATCAACACTAATCACTTCAAAATTACAAAAATCATTAAAACTTTGATGTATTTAATATTTCATTTAATTATTAAATAATCAACATTAATCACTTCAAAATTATAAAAATCATTAAAACTTTTGATTACTGACAGTTGACCATAAAATGTGTTGACCGTATAATGTGATTAGATGTTATTATTGTGGTTACATTTAAATTATTTTTTTTTAATAAAAAACGTGTTTGAAATTCCTAAATAAATAATAAATAATTCACAAAAAAAAGACGTACCAAAATATACATTACATCCAATCAGATAATTGCAATTTAAAAAAAATAAATATTTCAACTCATTTAGTTGTAAATTTGGCCAACAAAAAGGTGAAAAAAATAATAAATCATTATATGCATATAAATAACTCACAATACTTTATTTACATCTGTGCAAATGCACATGGTCGAATACTAGTATATATTCCTAACCACGTAAATTGGACTATATACAATATAGGGAAATGTTACAGCCTCGTTACGGTCTGAATTAGTAACCGTTAAATCATTATGTAACCGTCGTGAATATATAGTTGATTTAGCAGTTACAGATCCCGACAGAATGATTCCGTAACGAGACCGTAGAATAGCTTTATAATATAATAGTACTTTGGACTACCGAAACGTAAATTAGATTAGATGACAATACTTTACGAGGTTTTTAACCGTTGGATCACATACAACATGCTCACACACATTCACAAATATATATTTATTCCCAACATAAAAAATTCGATGAGTGTAGATGTGTGAATAAGGCAGATTATGTAAAATTGTTATATATTTATATTATATTTTATGTGACCTACTTTGTACGTTTTATCCAAACAAATAGAATTAGAAGTATATATATGGTTCATTTATAAGGCTCACTTAAACAA